TCTTTTGGTTTGGTTGCCTTTGAACGGTGCGTTTCACTGAATAAAAATGAAAATTTCTTAAAATGTGGTGTGAACCCCAATTGTCTCCTTTCGCCATATTTTCCAATCAATTGAAATTTCGAATCAGTCTGGAAGCGGACGCAGCCGAGCGATTTGGAAGAGGATTAGGAGTGCCAGCCGATCGACGACCGAGACGGCCTCTGCTCTCTGGAGGCCCATTCTCTAGCCATCGCCAACTCTAGATAGGTAAATTTCTTTTTGTGTTTTACATTCTGTTTTCTTGAGATGGTAACCTCTTGTATTAACGGAGGAAGCTGTGGTAATTTTCTGTGTTGAATAAATTAATGATTTTAAATGTGCATGAATGGTTTGGTCGGATTTTATTGTTCTTCCTGTACATATGGAAAACAAGAGATTGTTTTGAAGACGAGGGCCTTAATTAAACAATAAACAGGAAATTAGGAGTAAATTTCTGTTGGGATTTTGTTAAAAAAAATCAAGAAATTAGCTGTAGCTTTAGCATATGTAAGTTCTGAGTTGGATATATTGAAGGAAGGTAATAGTGGATCTTAAATTTCTTGTTCGTGAACTTTTATTTAAATTCTGTTTGCTTGTACTGTATGGATGGTCAATCATATCATGTAGACATCAGTCAGTTTCATTTTTTTTTTCTTAGATAAATTAGAGTTGAAGTTGTTGTTCTAGTGGTAAACTCATCATTGGATACTTTTGCTTACAGATAGAAGGTGTATCCCTGCAGGCATCCTAAAATTAAGAGTCTGTTAAACAAATATATGACCCAAGACACATCTCCAGACGAGGCTTTTGTTGTTATGGCTGGTGTAAGTGCTCGTTTTATTTTGCTTCTAGAGCCTAAGAGTTGTTGTTGAAACATGACAAATATCTTATTTCTGAGATCAGCTGCTAAGATAAACAAAGTCTAAAGAACATAATCTAAGCATTTAAAAGAATTGTTTCTGTGGTTCATTTTTAGTTATGCTGCTTGTTCTTTTTCCATTAAATAATAGAAACTTTGTGAAGTTATTCTAATATTTGAATTCAGCTGCTTTCATTGTTGGACAGTCAAGTCAAACTTACTACTGCACAGTCAATATAGGAGATGATGCTGTGATCTTAGCTTTTCATTGTGTTTTGCAATAATGTAATTTGCAGCTTATTGCATAATAAATAACACCACAAATTGATGCTTTTGTAGGTGTGCCTATTATCCTTGTCTTTTTTTTGTTATCTCCTTGACTAAATTTATTTCATCCTCTTAGACTTTCAGTAGATAGAAGCAGGTCCTTAGTGGGAGCCTTTTTGTCAAGAGTTATACCGCAGCCTGCAGTAGTTTCAACGGTTCCTTGTTTTCAACTATTACATGATATGACATAGTGGGCCAACTACCAATGAAAGTCAGGAGAATAGCCTCAACAATTTTGCATTTGATTTCTTTCCTAATTGGTTCTATTACAATGTTAAGCCTATTATTGCATAACTACAGATTGTTGGAAGTTGAAAGGCAATTCATTTATCAAAGAATCTAAATTGTTTCATTAAGAAAACTGAGACGATGGTAGAAGATGTTCAGATCACGCAGCTCTGATCTTGTTTCTCTTTGTACTTCAGTAACATCATAATCACTTTGTTTAACAACTTTAATTTACTGTAAGTTCTATTTGTGGTGTTTCTCTCATTTTTCAACTAGCTACATTCCCTGTTATAGTTTCCTGCTTTTTCCTTCAGATTTCGTTATGTATACTCACCAATGCTTTTGTAATTATGGGCTTTGATTAACAAATAGAGAGTCCTCATCATTATGAGATATGGTTAAAGTGTAACAGAGATAAGGAAAGTAGTTTAGGCAAGTCTTATGTATTTCTGTTGTATTCCTGCGTCCAAGGTCCTGTTATGCATTGTTTTGTACTTGTTATGGCCGCTGTTGCATTTTGAATTTTATATGCCATTAGCGTATCAGATTAGTGATTCTCCTTCTACTCTTCTGAACCCTTACATTTGTTTATTTCTAAAGCCTCTTGAATGTCATTGATGTCATTGCAGCTTCACCTTTGACATGTTTGAAGGATCACCCTGGAAAGGGTGAAAAACTCACCTTACCCCTCAGTGGCACATTTTCTTTTTCTGTGTGGATGGAGTTGTTGGCTGCAACAACAGATACACTTGGTTGTGTATTGCTCTTAGACACTCAAGTCACTTCTTGTGGTGCAACTGTGAAAGGTTTGTTTAGTCTCATTAATTTTGAATATATTTTTAAAAGCTGGAGCACTCTTTCTGAACAATGGATTTTGCTTACTGTTTCCGGAATATAGTGATGCAAACTGCTTGTTCATGGAG